GACGCAATTGCAATGTAATGGCATTTCTGTCATTTCGTTAATTCTATAATTTCAATATCAATTCGCAACCCTCTTAATCTGCTTGCTCCTGCACCTGCTAGTTTGTATTTTGTTTAGTTTTGATCACTTCTGCGTTTTCCCTTCTTCGCGACAATGGAAACGTGTCGAAGTCAACGGAAGACGGTTTTATCCCTCTTTTTTCTCTCTCTTTTCTCCGCCGTTGGATCATCCCACCACCGGGATTTGCCGGCATCAACCGTCCGATGCAGATTGCCACAAGCTATGGCGACGGTGAGGCAGATTCCGATGCGGGCAGGTGCACCCTTCAAGATTGCTCTGTTTGCGGACCTGCATTTTGGGGAGGCCGAGACCACGGAGTGGGGCCCACTCCAAGATGTAAACTCCACTAAGGTCATGAACACAGTGCTTCACGATGAAGCTCCGGGTATGTTTTTTTTTTTTAAACAAAATTGATTATACGATTTTCTCTATTATTTATTGCATTTTTTTTTTTATCAATTTATTAGTTAGTTTTCGGTGTGTGAATTGTGCACAATCTCGATGCCAATGCTAGCTATGGTGCTTGAATTGAAACACATGCTTTGGAAGGTTAGGTGCTTAGTAAATGGATTCACAGTAATGGGTATGGGCAAAAGTAATTATTCTAAATAAAGTCAAATTAGAAATAGAATTAGAATATTATTATTATTTAGTAATTTATATAAGAATATATGAACTATGAAGAAGGTAATGGGAAAAAAATTAACAAATTATAGTTTAAATAAAAAAATATGAATCTAAAACGATATGTAAAGTATATATTAAACTAACGCAATGAGATACACATTATTTTGGGCACAACTAATATGCATTAATATGGACGAAATTGGCCATGTGACAAGGTCTAGTGAATTTACTCCAAATTGATGTGTAACACGTCAATTTGAACACAATTTACCATAACTTGTCACATGACACTAAAGGTTGTCATTTGTATATACATTTGTATATATAAAGATGCTGTTAGTATCACGTGGCAAGTTGCACTCAAATTGATGCTTAACTAATTCTGCATCAATTTGGGTATAATTCACCACATCTTGCCACGTGGCCAGTTATGCCTAAAATGGTGCACAATTGATTGATTAGTTTGTTAGATACTTTCAAAATCGCTTTAAATTCGTTTTTTTATTTAAATTTTTCTCCTAGAAGGTAATAAGTGAAAGTTTACAAATAATTCGAAGTCATCCTTCAAAAATTTAGTAGCGGATACATTAATTTTGAATGTAAAATTTCTATCATTATTTTTAGAGAATAATCCATAAGCATCAATACACAAGTCTTTAAGAAAGATTATATAATTGAAATTTGTGATTTTTTATGGGCTAATAATTTTTTTTTTTTGATTTTCAGATACTATAATATTTATTTATCTTGATTACTTAAAGAAATTTTTCAAATAATTTTTTTTCAATTTTTAAGATAATGAGTGCTTGCACTTTTTGTATTTTATTTAATAGTTTCTATTTTTGCTTCCTTAATATGTTTATCAAAAGGATCATGATAAATATTAGAATTGCAAAGTTAGAACATATCATAATTTTCAATAAAGACACACGTTAATAAATTATTATTAGTACATATTGAATTATAAACTTAAACCGGTAACTTAATGAAGTTCAATTCTATTAGTTGAGTCAACGTTGATTTATGAGTTTGGTTGTTAAAATACGTAGTTTGAGTTCCAATGACGGAACTAAGGGAGGTAATTTTTAACACAACCTATTGACACTACTTGAGAAATTTGATTTGTGTTGTGTTTGTTTTGGTCACAAAAAATTTTGTGTTATGTTGATTTTAAACCAATAAATACAAAATTGACCTGCGTTCATCTTCATATTGGTAAAGCAACATTTAGTACAAAAGTTATTTGTGTCTTATCGTGTCATGTCAGTTCTCATAATAAACGACATACTTAGAAGTTGATGAATTATTTATATCAGATTATATGAACTTGCAAAATAAGTGGGTTGTGTTCGCATCGAAGTTTTTGATCTATTTTCGAATATGTGTTGAGTGTATTTCTCTTCATGTTAAATTTGTGTTTATATCGTATCGTGTCATGTCGACCTGAATTGTCACCTCTGCATAGCAAAAAAAAAACTTTTGTAAGGGGATGAAATTGCAACTATTTTTATTATTTAAGGATAGTAGCAAAAAATAATAATAATAAAGATGGTAACCAACAAAGAAAAATAAAAATAATACTCACAATTAGAGATTTATATAAACTTGAAGGAAAAAGTTTGAATGAACTTGAAAGAAAGATGATTGCCCACCCTAACCCATCTCTCGTTGCACAATTGAATTTGACTTGGAACCGCATATGAATGTTTTGAAAAACTAAACCAAAATGATTTAAAAAATATGACTTTTGTTGTGTTGTTGACTCAAATTAGATCAAGCTTGATCAAGAGTAATGTAGTTAACGGGTCCTTAAACTCTCAACTTCTAATGTTGTCCAAGTTACTTCATCTCACTTAGACCTACTTCCACGTGCATATAGTATTAGAGTTCATCCATCTCACATTCAAAAATCCACATCACAAAGAGAGTCCTACCCGTAACCTACATAAGCTATTAGTGTTTACTCTTGCAACCGCAATTGCCTGGTAAACAACCAAAATTTAAAAATATAATGATTTTATCAAACGATGATAGCTCAGTTGGCGCATGGGAGCTAAGCAGGTGGGGGTGAGAGCATGTGTTCAAATCTCCTCAATACTACCTTTAGGAGGGGTTTAAAGCCTTAATCCTGGACCCGCATCGAATCGGATTAGTTGCGAAGCAATGAACCGATTGGAATATTTCCAAAAAAAAAATATAATGATTTCAAAGGAGCAACTATTTACTTTATTTTGTTAAGAGAAATTTTTGAAGATATAGTTTAATATAGTGTTTAAAATTATCTAATTGCAAATACCAAAGTATTAAATAAAAGGAAAATTATGTTTACAATTTGTTTTGCCTTATAACCTCTTATAATTATTTTTATTATTATTAGATGGAAATTAAATTAATAGTTGCAAAATAACATCAAGTGAGAGTTGTTAATTTAATTTTGATCCAATGTTTCACAAATATAATTATAAGAGGTTGTAAAACATATATATATAAAAAAAGAGGTTGTAAAACAAAAAATATTGTAAGTATAATTTCTCCCTGTTAAATAAATTTTTGGATATTTTATTTTATGTTGAAAAATTAATAAAAAATTTCTTAAGATAATTATTTTAAAAAACTAATTGTTACCCACAGGCTACCACCACCTAAATCTTTAGTATACCCTTATTCTGATTTTCTGTTATTCCCTTGAAGATGAGATGGAATATGCCAGCGCAAGGTTTATTCTTATTAACTTGTCATCTAATTCCATGGAATATACCAGCGGAAGGTCTTATTCTTATTAACGTAACGTGTCAACTAATGCCATGGAATATGCTATATGGTACCTTCTACAAATGTTGGTTTCTTTCATAAAATAATTCAATTACACATTTAGTCTACCTAGTGTAGTTAATATTTGATTTTAGTTTTTCAACAATTTATTTTATCAATTAAATTATTTAATATTTTTAATTGAAAAAATTCAGGTCTATCTGTCTTTTCGCTGTTCAATTTTGTAGTTCTATTAATATAAGTTAGTAACATGACTAATGATTTGTATGTGTAATATAATACATATCGTGTAAAGTTTCTTAATAAAATTTTTAACGACTTTAATTTATTTATGACATTATTTTCTTGTATTTAAATACATTATTTTATATTTAAGTTATTTATATTTAAATAAATTAAAGACACGAATTCGTCGAGATATCAACTCAATAAAATCTTACGCTAAGTAGCTAAATAGTTAACAACATCCCTAATTTTTATTAGTAACTAGACGATAGGTCAACGAGAGCCATATTTTTCAATTAGAAAAATTTATCACTACAAAAATTTATTTAGAAAAACTTAAAACTTATATCAGTCATAAAAGATAGATCAAAATAAATTTTGAGCTTAAAAAAATATATCTATGTTGTTGAAATTATATGAGTCACTGTTATAATAAATAAAGTGATATAAAAAAGTTATGCACATTTTATTTCAAATTTAACAGCTCAAATGGCTCAAAAAAATTACTTTTACTTACATCTAAGGACATAAATATGTAATAAATCAGAGTTATTAAATATAAATAATATTTATAATTAAGATTAAGAGTATAATTTATATCATTACAAAATAATATTTTTACAAAATATATTATGTACTGGAATGTGTTAGTATAATTTATAAACAAAAAATTTGTAAATAAATTTTTTTTAAAAATAAAATGTTTCGTGTCTACCATAAAAGTATAAAATTAGAGTAAATATTATTTTTAGTCCTTACTAAAAAAATACAGTCCCCACTTTAGTCCTTTACAAAAATAAATTAATCAGTTAGTCCCTAACAAATTCAAAGTGGACTCATTTAGTTGAAATTGTGGTCCCTCACAAATTCAATAAATACTCATATTAGTCTCTCAAAAGGACTAAAATGGGTCCACCTTAAATTTGTTAGGAAGTAACTGACTAATTTATTTTTGTAAAGGACTAAAGTGGGGACGATATTTTTTTTTGTTAAAGATCAAAAAGATCTTTACTTATAAAATTATAGAGAATTGCTATGATGACTAATAATTTAAGATTGCGGCTGCTCAACGAATTCCTAACTAAAAAACTTCAAAACCAATAAATTAATCACAACTTTACAAGTGTGCAAGTAATCACAACTGGTGAGGGTGTTTCTATCATTTCACACTTCTCCAAACTCCAATATTGTCACCAACCTCACCTGCAAATATATAATTCAAAAAATGCAATGATAAATTAATATTAATGCACCCACTCCTTTCTATCCTTTGAAATATTTTCGTCGAGTCTGGTCTGTTTCATCCTCTTTCAAAAATGGAAACTTATGGAAGGCAGTGGAAGACGTTTTTGCCCCTACTGTTTCTCTCTCTGTTCTCCACCGTCGGATCGTCATCACATCATCATGGCCGGGTATCATCAACCATACGATTCAAATTAGCAGGCGCTGCTGCGGAGAGGCAGGTTCCGATGCGGGCGGGTGCACCGTTCAAGATTGCCATGTTTGCTGACCTGCATTTTGGAGAGAACGCGTGGACAGACTGGGGCCCAGTTCAAGATATAAACTCTATCAAGGTCATGAATACGGTGTTCGACAATGAAACTCCAGGTTAGGAGGAGGGAGAGCGAACGTTAAATAGTATTTATTGATTATTTACCTATCCATGTTAAGTCTTAACCCACTGCTTAACTTGTCACTCTATACTAATTACCCAAAAGTATATATATATATATAGAATGGCGATTAAATGATACACTTTATATCTTTTCACTCTCACAAAGAAGTGACCCATATTTTTAAAATTTTTTCCCTCCATCCTCTCTATCATGATTTATCTTTTTCTCTCACTTAAAATAACACAATTTTATGTCCTTTAAAATGATATACACTTTTCACGTATAGAATTAGTATAAAGTCTCGCCAGTAGCGGACCCACACTAATGCAAGTGTGGGCACTTGGTGACACAAATTATTGGGAGAAATTTTTTTTTTGGCTAAGGATTAAGAGGTGATTTGAACAATTCATAATGTAAAATATGCCAAAGTTAAAATTAGTGTTAACATATGAAAAAGTAAGGAGTGTACATTTGATTGTTGGCTAGTGTGTTGTTGGCAATGTCTAGTCAGACACCTTTTAAGTATAAAGTTGATTTTTGATTATTATTTTTTTATGTTAAGTTGAATTTTTTTATTTTTTTTTGTTTTATAATGCATTTAAAAAAATTAAAAAAAATTCAACGCCACTAAAAGTGCATACATAAATAAAATTTTCTGGATCCGCCACTGAGTCATGCTCTCAATTTTGGCCGTTAATATCACTTTTATCTAACTGCTCTAATTTTTAGTTATAAGAACCATCGGATGTAAGTGAATTAATAACCAAAAATGAGTGTATGAACTTGTGTAAGAATAATATGCTCCTATTTATATTATTAGGATGTATCCCACCATTGAACCATAATTCTTATTCATATATTTTATTTTAATTACATTAGTGTAAGACTTAGAGTTTTTATGTCATTCAATAGTGTTTTTTATCTATCAAAATGTGATTTGTAATTATATATTAGTCTCACTTTTGTGTTAAGTTTTGTAAAAATTAAATAATAATAATATAATTAAATGGTTCTTATTTTTAAATATTTTAAAAATCTATATTACGTTAAACTTGATGAATACTAATGAAGTACTAAATTATATTGGATTAATGTAATATTTTATAAATATGATAGGAACTTTCAATCTAAGGATAGATTTTGAAATAAAATTTTCCAATAAAAATTATTTAATGGTGTAAGAGTAGTTTTGACTTATACCAATGTAAACCAGTGATAGAGTAAATGGGACTAATAATACATGGTTGAGTTTGGTCCAAGTGGTGCTAGAAGAGAGACTGCAACGAGATCTGGTGAGATGTGATGCGGGATGATTTTGCGGGATGATTGTACTGGTGTTGGAGAGATTTGCTTGTGTGGGACAGATTGGGGGTATTTGAATGAACGAGCTTAAGTAAGATGATCATACCTAGATTTTGAACTTTTTTTATACAGTGGCGACATGTTTTGCTTATGCTGCCTTAGTATGGCAGCATTTACTCTGGTTGGTGGATTGAGCAGCTTTGCCAACCTATTTCGTTTGTGGGATTCATGTTAGTGAGCTATAATGTATTTATGTGTAGCCATAGCTGGAACCTTGTCTCTGTGGTATTGCGTTTACACGGGATACATATGCTTTCTTACTTCTTAATTCTTTATTGTTAGGCCTCTTGATGCTGTTATTGGATTGGACCCTTTATCCAGTTTAATATAGGTCTAGAATATATATATATATATATATATATATATATATATATATATATATGAGACATGATCTGTTTACAAATTTTTTTGAATTTTTTTACAAATTATATTATGTTCTCCTGGGAGAACATAGTGTAGTTTGTAAAAGTTTGTATTCTCCCGGAAAAATATAGTGTAGTTTGTAAGAGTTTATAAACAAAAAAGTTTGTAAATATAATCTGCCCCTATATATATATATATATACACATAATTTTATATTCAATGTAATATTTTATAAATATGATCTACATGATAGTAACTTTCAATCTAACATTAGACTTTGGGATAAAACTACCCGACAAAGAATTATTAAATGGTGTAAGAGTGTTTTTGGTTTACATGGGTGTAAATTGATTCCTCCTCTTGTGTGTATATTTCTCCCAAATGAAAGTGGTTCTAAACTACCTGAATCATATTAGATTACTGAGAGAAGTTAGTTAGTGTTGAATGCGAGATACGGCTGAATTGGATAATTGGTAAATATTGTCTGAGTCGCAAGTGCTATAAAACATCATAAATGTTGATGACACTGTAGAAAGGGGTTTATAAAGAGTGTATTATGAAACACTGTACAAAGTTATATTTAAATTAAATTACATATATCCCCCTATTTTTGTAAATCATTTTTCTTTTGTTGTAGTGTTATTCAAATTTCACGAATGCTGAATACTAATGAAGTTAACTGTATGCAGATTTTGTAGTATATCTTGGTGATGTCATTACGGCTAACAATATGATGATTGCAAATGCAAGCTTGTATTGGGATCAGGCAACCTCTCCAGCAAGAAATAGGAGCATACCTTGGGCCAGTGTATTTGGAAACCATGATGATGCTCCATTTGAATGGCCATTGGAGTGGTTCTCTGCACCTGGAATTCCTCAAATTCGCTGCCCTCAATCCGGAAATTCATATTCAGGTACTAAGTAATGTAGTAATAGATAAGGTTATGATTATTGCTATGTGGTTACATATATGTTCGGATCAGAGTAGAAACTTTAGTCAAAGAAACTAAGCATAGATGATGTTATAAATATTCTTTGTCATGAAACAAAGCCTTTATAGCAGATTACTGACTCGGTAGCAAGTGATAGACTTGAAAAAGGTAATTAGAAAAATATTATTATAATTGTGTGTTAATCTGATAGAAAGAGGTCTCTATTTATAGAGACTAAAAAGCTTAATTCTTGACCTAATGGGCTTGGCCCAATACAACAAATACTAATAATAATAAAAGTCCTAATATTTACAACACTCCCCCTCAAGCTGAGGAATAGATATTTATCATTCTCAGCTTGCTAGTAAGTTCTTGAAATCTGTCTGAAGGAAGTCCTTTTATCAATAGATCAGCTAATTGACGCCCAGTGGAAATGTATGGAGTGGTAATCAACCCGCTATCAAGTTTCTCTTTGATGAAATGGCGGTCGACCTCAATATGTTTAGTCCGATCATGTTGAACCGGATTATGAACTACACAAATAGCGGACTTATTGTCACATAGCAGCTTTATAGGTCCCTCACATTTTATTTTGAGATCATCAAGTACAATCTTCAGCTACAGTAACTCACAAATGTCTTGAGTCATAGCTCGAAATTCAGCTTCTGCACTTGACCTGGCAACCACATCTTGTTTCTTACTTCTCCATGTCACTAAGTTACCGCAAAGAAACATGCAATAACAAGTGGTAGATCGACGGTCAGTCACGGATCCAGCATAATCAGCATCAGTGTAGACTTCTAAAGAGAGATTGCCATCACGTCGGAATAACAATCCTTTACCAGGAGTAGCTTTAAGATACTGAAGAATTCTCTCTACTACCTGCATGTGTTTCTCCTTTGGATCGTGCATAAACTGACTGACAACACTAACAGCATAAGCTAGGTCTGGTCTAGTATGAGCCAGATATATCAATTTTCCAACTAGCCGTTGATATTGTCTTTTATCAACTGGAGGACTCTCCTCTTCATAGCCTATCTTGTGATTCTGCTCAATAGGAGTATTAGAGGGTTTACACTCGAGCTTTCCTGCTTCTTTGAGAAGATCAAGAACATATTTTCTCTGGCTGATAAAAATTCCTTTACTTGAATGAGCTACTTCTATCCCTAGGAAATATCTCAGTTTCCCAAGGTCTTTGACTTCAAACTCAGAGGCAAGCCGTGTTTGCAAAATCTGTCTCTCCACAAAATCATCACCTGTGATAATAATATCATCAACATATACAAGGAGCACAGTAAGCTTCCCATTTTGCGAGTGCTTGAAGAAAAGAGTGTGATCTCTTTGACTCTGTCTGTATCCTAAGGCCATCATAACCTTAGTAAACCTTCCAAACCAGGCACGAGGTGACTGCTTCAATCCATACAAGGCCTTTTTTAATTTACAAACTTTATTTTCTCCCTTCACAGAATCAAAACCAGGCGGGATTTCCATGTAGACTTCTTCTTCTAACTCACCATTGAGGAAAGCATTTTTCACATCAAATTGATTTATATCCCAATTGTAATGGGCAGCAAGAGATAACAAGACTCTCACTGTATTCATCTTTGCAATTGGAGCAAAGATTTCTTCATAATCAATGCCATAGATTTGAGTGTAACCTTTGGCGACTAATCGAGCCTTGTATCTGTAACGCCTGGCAACTTGCAAGGATCAACGACTGTCTCCACACACTAACACGAGACTCTTCAGCGTGCTTTGTCCTCACTCGTACACTTTCCGGGAAAACTTCCCAGGAGGTCACCCATCCCTGAATTGCTCCAAGTCAAGCACGCTTAACCGTGGAGTTCTTCTGATCCGGGCTACCGAAAAGTAGATGCATCTTGTTAGTATAGGTAGTACCAATTAATTCTTATAAGTCATTCTCAACTGTACCGTCTCATACCAGCACAGTCTCTGGAATCCCTCTCTTTCGGGTGTTGATTCGATTCATTCATGTACCCCCGTTCCTAGAAGCCTGTCAGGAGCCGCTCCTTGTCCGTGCCCTTGCGCACCGGCGATCACTCCCCGACATCGCCAGCGCCTGGGATGTTACATGCCCACCAGCTTCCGCCTGGTTCGTCCTCGAACCACACCGTACTGGATGAGAGGCCCTGCTCTGATACCACTTGTAACGTCTGGCAACTTGCAAGGATCAACGACTGTCCCCACACACTAACACGAGACTTTTCAGTGTGCTTTGTCCTCACTCGCACACTTCCCGAGAAAACTTCCCAAGAGGTCACCCATCCTTGAATTGCTCCAAGTCAAGCACGCTTAACTGTGGAGTTCTTTCGATCCAGGCTACGAAAAGTAGATGCATCTTGTTAGTATAGGTAGTACCAATTAATTCTTATAAGTCATTCCCAACTGTACCGTCCCATACCAGCACAGTCTCTGGAATCCCTCTCTTTCGGGTGTTGATTCGATTCATTCATGTACCCCCTCCCTAGAAGCCTGCCAGGAGCCGCTCCTTGTACATGCCCTTGCGCACCGACGATCACTCCCCGCCCTCGTCAGCGCCCGGGATGTTACAGTATCTTTCAAGAGTTCCATCAGAATTATATTTCAGGGCATGAACCCATCTGCACCCCACTGCTTTCTTTCCGTTAGGTCTATCAATAACCTCCCATGTTTTATTTTTCTCCAACGCATTCATCTCCTCTTGCATGGCTTGAGCCCAATTCCCATCTTTCAAGGCTTCATGTACTGATTTTGGGTTTGAAACAGAATCTAGTGCTGAAACAAAGCTTTTGTGCTGCACATAAAGATTAGCAGAGGAAACAAAATGGGAGATAGGGTATTGAGTACAAGAGGGACAGGAAGAACAAGATTTCTTGGAACAAGATCTTTTTCCTTTTCTTAGAGTAATGGGTAAATCATCAGAAGCAGTAGTAATGGGTAAGTCATCAGAAGTATTAACATCATGATCAGAAATATGAGATTCAGGACTTACCAGTGGTTCAGACGATTGAGGTTGCTGTTGAGGCAATGTAGGCTGTTTCCTTCTTTGATATACCAATTCAGGTGTCACAATCTTCCGTATCTCTGGTGTACTTGATGTATCAGTCACAGGAGGATCAATCACTACAGGAGGATCAATCACAGGAGGATCACTCACAGGAGGATCAGACATGGAAGGCACAGGAACAAGAGGAGGTGACACTGACACTAGTAAAAGAGTAGACACTGGAGATTCAGACTCAAAGAAGGAAGGTGATGAGTTTTCTGGTGAATTATTCTCCCCCTGAAGATGAGGACCTTGGATAAAGGACTCAGATTCCTGAAATGTAACATCCATAGAAACAAAAAAAAATTCGACTACCAGGGTGATAGCACTTGTACCCCTTCTTATCAGGAACATAACCAAGGAAGACACATTTAATAGCCCTAGGGTCCAACTTACTGCGATGATGTTTATGAACATGAACAAAAGCAACACACCCAAACACCCGTGGAGGAAGACTCATAGTTGGATTATAAGGAAAAAAAGAAGTGATAGAGTGAATAGGACTTACATGGTCAAGTACCCGAGTGGGTAAACAGTTGATCAAGAATGCTGCAGTAAGAATAGCATCTCCCTAATAGTATTTGGGTACATGTGACTGAAACATTAATGCACGAGCCACTTCAAGAAGGTGACGATTTTTTCTTTCAGCAACCCCATTCTGTTGAGGGGTGTCAGCACAAGTAAGTTCATGAATCATACCGTTATTTCGTATAAATTGGGAAAAACTTTGATTAACATATTCAGTACCATTATCTGTCCTTAGTCTCTTGATTTTTTTACCAAATTGGGTTTCAACCATTTTATAAAATTGAAACTCGTGTCCCGGGTTCAAACCTCGCCGCCCCCCACTTTCTCTTGTGGAATTTCTTAGCACAGGTGGGTTGGGCCTGTTGCATCATCCACTCTTCAAGCCCAATGGGCTCTTGTGTGAGGGGGCGTGTTGAGATATATAGTCTCACATTGGTTGTATGAGCAACTAATGTGGAGTTTATAAGGCCATGGGAACTCCCACCCTTTGAGCTAGCTTTTGGGGTGGTGTATCTTAAGGTTCTTTACATGGTATCAGAGCCTCGCCGTCCCCCACTTTCTCTTGTTGCGTTTCTTAGCACAGGTAGGCTGGGCCTGTTGCATTGTCCACTCTTCAAGCCTAATGGACTCTTGTGTGAGGGGACGTGTTGAGATATATAGTCCCACATTGGTTGTATGTGCAACTAATGTGGAGTTTATAAGGTCTCGGGCACTCCCATCCTTTGAGCTAGCTTTTGGGGTGGTGTATCCCAAGGTTCTTTATATGGTATCAGAGCCTCGCCGCCCCCCACTTTCTCTTTTGGCGTTTCTTAGCACAGGTAGGCTGGGCTTGTTGCATTGTCCACTCTTCAAGACCAATGGGCTCTCGTGTGAGGGGGCGTGTTGAGATATATAGTCCCACATTGGTTGTATGTGCAACTAATATGCAGTTTATAAGGCCTTGGACACTCCCACCCTTTAAGCTAGCTTTTGAGGTGGTGTATCCCAAAATTCTTTACAGATAGTCAAACAAATGGATTAGCAGAACTAAAATGGTCTTATTTCGTGTCAGAATTGCTAGTCAATTGAAAAATCACGCACGCGTGCACAGACACAGAGTTATCTATACTCTGAGGACAATTACAGTAGAGGTAGTTGAGCTCGGTGGGAACAGAAGTTGGGAGAGATTTATGAAGAAGCAAGTGTCAAACCAAATGAGCAAATGGTCATGAGTTAGAAAACTTACACAGTGAAATGGCATTTTTATTTCGCCTTTATTGTTGTATTTATAGTTCTTTTCAAAATGGTACTTTTATCTTGCATTTGCTGACTATATTTTTGGCTTCATTATCCATTACTTGGAAGTTTTAGAATATTAGGTACTTGGTAATCTGCCATACTCTTCTCATAAGATTAAATGTTTGAAATATCTTTAGTAAAAGGCATATTTGATAAATTTCAGGAGAAGAAGAATGTAGCTTCAAAGGAACAGGACGACTGGAGCTCATGAAAAATGATATCAAGAACAATGCATCATCGTATTCTAGCTATGGTCCTAGAAATCTTTGGCCAAGTGTATCCAACTATGTCCTTCAAGTTTCATCCCCTGATGATCCACAATCACCGGTGGCTTTCCTTTACTTTCTTGATTCTGGTGGTGGTTCCTATCCTGAAGTCATATCTGATAGCCAGGCAAAATGGTTTCTGCACAAAGCTGAAGAAATTAACGCTGACTCAAGGTAGAATGAGAAAGCATTAAAATCAAAAGTTCTTTTGCTTTAAAGCTAAATGCATCCTGTAGTAAATAAAAAATACATTTATATTGGATAAACAACTTTGTTCATTTCTTATGTGTGCTATTCAATTAAGTATATTAAGTAATTAAATTATGTTGAAAAAGAATTCATAGCATTGTCTTATTTTCTTCCCTTCCTTCTTGCATAATCCAAACAAAACATATTGTGTGACAGTGTTCCAGAGATTATTTTCTGGCATATTCCAAGTAAGGCCTATGAGGTGGTGGCTCCAAAGATTAGCATACAAAAGCCTTGCGTGGGTTCAATCAACAAGGAAAGTGTTGCTCCTCAAGAGGCTGAAACGGGTATAATGGATCTTCTTGTGAACAGAACTTCTGTCAAGGTAAGGTCAAAGCCTGCATGCTATATTTGTATAAATATTTTCTTAAAATTATCCACAAAACAAAAATCAAACCCACAAGGACACAGTCGTTGGATTTTGAACCACCAAATGTGTTTGCTAGATGAGTAAGATTTTTATTTCCATGGTTGACAAGAACAGTACTTGTTTGTCAAAAAAAAATCTTTTTGGGTATAAATATGTTTATTGGGAAATTGTTTGAGGAATGAGAAGGTTTTTGGAAGAAAATATGAAAGTATTTTATCCAGACATATTGTATTTATCTTGCATTTAATTTTTGTTTTACTTTATTTTAGATGTGGATGTTCGCCAATAAGTTTGGAAAGCTTTGCTTAGGTTGTTTTTTTATAAATTTATAATAATATTTGTTGTACCATTTAATCATACCTTAATATGAGAAACTGCACTTGATTTTGTTAATTAGCGCATGTTTATTGCCACATTGTCCATTTTCATTCTAGTTTAAGTCTTGGTTCCACACTAATGGTTAGAGGTAGCCTAAAAACCCAAACATAATCATCATCTCCAAATACTCAGGGAGAGTCAATGGTAGGGGACAACTATCATCAATGGACTAAGCGGCAATCTGCCGCAACAACTGATTTACACACGACATCTCAGACCAAAACTTTAAGGTGCCGTTTGGTACCAGGATTTTTAAAATTATTTTGGGAAAATGAGAGTCCTGCAAATAAAATTGTAAATAAGAATCCCATGAAATAATACCACCAGGTGGATGATATTCTTGGACTCTCACCTGGTTGGAAAGTTTTACATAATTTATAGGATGCCTTTATTGGGTTTTGATCCTTTTGTGACATATCAGAATTTTTTTTCAAATATTCATCAAATGTTAGTTTTTGTAAAATCTACCCACATTTCTCAGAATCATTGACAATCAACCGAACATAGAATCAGAAAACTTGAGCCAATATTTCTGGGAATATTTTGCCAACCAAACAGTTTTTTGGTAACATTAATGAGAAATTTAGTTTCCCAGCATATTCCCTTGAACAAAAAAAGTTCTCCTCTATCAAACATCGCCTAAGGAATTAGGTTTATGGATTCTTTCACTTATATATTCCATACTTAACTCCTTCTTTCTTGATACAAGACTTTATCATTCATACGTGAATCCCCAACATAATTTTAATTGTTGCATGCATGTTGCAAAATCAAACTGTCCATTGAGATTTTCAATTTTCGCCATCTGAGTACTCAAATCTTCTAAAAATATAACATTGAATGATAATATATATTCATTTGCTTTGATGGACACGCAAGTGTGATCCTATTTTGAGCTGTTTTGCTTCACATAACCGCAGGGAATATTTGTTGGACACAACCATGGATTGGACTGGTGCTGCCCATACAAGAAACTATGGTTATGTTATGCTAGGCACACTGGCTATGGTGGCTATGGAACTTGGCCTAGAGGAGCTCGAATTTTAGAGATAACTCAGAAGCCCTTTTCTCTTCGATCTTGGATAAGGATGGAGGATGGCCAAAAGCACAGTGAAGTTGCGTTGAGTTAACAAGTCATTACATATATAAAAAGTGTAGCTAGTAAATTTGTAAATGCATTCATTGTGATTATCTTCAAGTATAAAGGTAACATATATGTGGGGATGTAGATATTCAACTATTGGCCATGTACTTTTCTTTTAAAAATTCATTATTAATATACATTTTATCAGTGTGAATGTACAATAAGTCTTCAACCTTTTTTCTTGCTTGTCTGACCAATATTTTATTGTATTCTGTCAAGCTTCCTCACAGTTCTATTGTAAAAACAGAAAAAAGAGAAAATAAAGAGTTGGCCCTAGAGTCACTGTGAAGATCCAAATTGGGACCTTAGATTGCATAGGGTCAATGGATGACAGCTTTGTAGTATCAAAAGGACTGAACGGCTCTGATTTTGCCGACACTACGATGTTTATCGCAGCCGTTGAAACTTGGCTTTGAGGAACGTGCTTGGGAAGCTTCGAGTCAATTGAGGTATGTGATGGTTTAGAAACATCTAGGCTCTGAGTTATGCCCTCTCCACCGTCACGTGACTGGTTAGCTCCCATTACCACCGTGTTGTTCTTGTCGGCTGTATTTCCCTTCGGTCATTTTTCTTTCTTGTGTTATTCACCACTGTAGTACCCCTGGTGCTGGCTAATATGTCTCCTTGTTCCATATATGCTCCCTCGATTCCGATCGGCAAGATCGTAACTTTATCTTCCCAGGTAGAGTATTTCGGTGCCAGACTTGTCCATTGGATTAATACTTGGGGTATCAGTTCCCCTTTTCGCCATATCTGTCGTTCTCCCAAAATCGCACGAGGAGTGTGCAACAAAGGATCTTCCGAGGTGCCAGAAGGCAAAGGATGCACCTTGAAGAGTTGTCCTTGCCGGAACGGGCGTAATAAAGAGACGTGGAAGACCGGTTGAATGCGAGCTGTAGTGGGAAGCTTCAAATGGTACGCCACAAACCCAATGCGTTCCTCCACCTCAAGGGGACCATAGAAGCGTAAAGCCAATCTTTGAGAAGATCTACGAGCGACAGAGATCTGTTGATATGGTTGTGGATGCCGGAAGACCATATCTCCGACGATAAAGTGCCAATCCCTTCTTTTCTTATCTGCTTTTGCCTTCATGGTTTTTGTGCTTTGAATAACTTATCTTTTGACGTGCTCATGAGAGAGGTACGTTCTGTCAGAGTGGTGTCAACAGCTTCATTGAACAATCTGCCCAAGCAATATCCCAAAAGGTTGGGAGGTGTCTTGCCAACATTACCTAGTATGGTGTTATCCCCGTGGATGAATGAAAGGATGTTTTGTAGTGATACTCGGCTAGACTCAGGAATTTGGACCAAGTTCTTGGATGTTCATGGGAAAATGCCCTCAGCTAACTTTCCAAACACCTATTTACTGTAGGATCGCTCAAATACAAAACCAACAAATAAAACAACTATTTAAGAATGTCGTGAGAACTTATGGAGAAAGAGAACAAACTTCTGTGAAATATTTTACTAAACTTCGTTGCTTCTCAATTTTATATTTCTCAAACAATATACTATATTTATAGGCTATAATTTGCCTTTCTAAAACTGCAACACTAAATAGTCATAAACCACAATTAAAATCAAACTTAATAACAAAACATAACGACTGACTCTTAACCTTTCAAAACTCCTAAACTTAATGCTAACCCTCATGACTCATAAACTCCATAACCGACAAATTCAAACCAAAACTCCTAAGATAAATGTTAACCTTATGACTCATAAACTATCCATAACTGACATCTTTAAACACATTAAAGTAACATTTAATGTTTACTTAACATTTACCTTCTCTGTTTGTCTGTCTGATAGTAACTGGGGAACTGAAGTTCAATTTTGTACCCTGCAGCTTAAATAGTGTACGCCAAAAATCACTAAGGAAGATGGAATCGCGATTAGAAATAATTGATTCAGGTATACCGTGGAGCTTTCCGACAAAGTCCTAAAAGAGTTGAGCTACTTTTGTGGCAGAGTAAGTAGCTGTCAGAGGAATGAAATGGGCAGCCTTCGGAAAACGATCAACCCCAACCAAGACTACGGAATAACTTGCTGACAAAGGTAAGTGGGTTATAAAATCCATATTTACATGTGACTAGAAGGAATCTGGGATTTGTAAAGGTTGTAATCATGGTAGTTAAAATCTGGATTTAAATCTTAAAATTTTGGTTTTAACGATTTATTTTGCTAAAACGATTTTGATTTCACTTAAAATCGTTTCCAATATAAAATCCCGATTTAGACATTTACTTAAGTCCCAATTTAAAGATTTAAATCTCGATTTTAACTATTGGAATGATGTTAAGCAAGTTAGAAAAATTGTTGAATATAACATTGCTGATGTTTCGTCCAAAGATGAATGGATTATGGAAAATGAAGGAACTTTATCTCATGATGAAAGTTTAGATGAAGACAATTTTGAATGATGTAGTTGAAGATCACGTGGAACGGAATGTCTTCGATGATAATAACTTGAATAATTTATTAGCTTAGACCCTTAGAGTGTGACAATTGTATGCAAATGTATAAGGATGGTGGCAGGTAGTCTATTTTTCTTAATTTTTTTATACATAAGCATATGTATATAAAAATTTAATTTTAGAGTGCAAGTAAAATCTATGATTTGTATTACGATTTTACGATTTACGATTTTTTATTCCCTTTCCGATTTTAGGTAAAATTCCGATTTTGACTACCTTGGTTGTAATAACCCCAAATGAGGGTGACTCGGGGCTTTTAACTTCTGACAAATTTCACAGTTGTGGATATACTTCTTGACATCTTTTCTTAATCCTCTCCAGGTGAAGTTTCTGTTAATGCGGTGTATTGTGGCCTGAACGCCAGAGTGACCCCCTTGAACTGAGGAATGGGAATCATGCAAGATGTGGGGTATCAGTGCATAACCAGCAGGTAAAAAAATTCGAGAACGGTAAAATAGTAGACCATTGCGAAAATGCCAATCAGCTATGTTAGTGGGGATTGTTCTGTAATTCTTGTAAAATGTGGTTGGAATAGGGATCCACTGTGTACTCGAAATGTAAGGTTTTAGTATAATTGAGCTCAAGGCCAGATAAAGCCAGAATGTGGGAAAATTGAGTCTTAGCACCATCTTCAGGTAATCGAGAGAGATTATCGGCTCAATGTTTGTCTTCCCGGTTGTATATGCAATCGTATAGTTAAAACCAAGGAGTTTGGACAAGAAGTTCTGCTACTCGGGTGTTTATATCACTTGATTCATCATGTTGTGCAAGCTCTTATGGTCTGTCTAAATTGTGAATGGGGAACCCAAGAGATATTGACGTCATTTGCTAATGGCGGATGTAATCGCGAACATCTCATGGATGTAAACAGACTGTCGTTGCATCGCTGGTGACAACTTGCGACTGTAAAAAGCCAATGGTAGTTCTCGTTGCAATAAAACCGCACCAATGCCCACTCCGGATGCATCTGTCTCAACCACAAAAGGTTCAGAGAAATCTGGCAAGGCTAACACTGGAGCCTTAATCAAAAGTTGTTTGAAGATCAAAAGATATGGTAGCCTCTGGTGTCCAAGAAAACCCATTTTTTGACAAGAGATCAATCAGGTGTGCAACCACCAAAGCATACTATTTAATGAACTTGCGGTAATAACCTGAAAAACCAATAAACACTCTCACCTGAGTGACATTATTTGGGATGGGCCAATCTACAATGGCACTAAGTTTCTCAGGGTCTGGGGATACCCCATTTCCATGGATAATATGGCCCAAATTAGGAATTTCCCTTTGTGCAAAGAAGCATTTTTTGCGCTTGGCGAAAAGCGAATGTGCTCTTAATGTGCTAAAGACAGCTGCAAGATGTTCTAAGTGCTGCTCAACAGAGGAACTATAGACCAATATATCATAAAAAAAATCACCACAACTTTTCGCAGAAAAGCTAAGAAAATAGCGTTCATTGTAGCCCGAAATGTGGAAGGTGCATTGGAGAGGCCAAAGGGCATCACCAGAAACTCAAAATGCCTATGATGAGTGCAGAAGGCAATTTTGTGGATATATGTCACATTCATCTTGATTTGATGGTAACCAGACCGTAGATCAAGTTTAGAAAAAATAATGGCTCCATGGAGCTCATCTACCAGCTTGTCAATTGTTGGAATCGAAAACTTATCCTAGACTGTAATTGCATTGAGAGCGCGATAATCAACACAAAATCTCCATGTGTCATCTTTCTTCTTGACCTGGAGAACTAGGGAGCTAAAGGAAGAATGATTATGCCGTATAATTCCTGTTTGTAACATATCAGCCATTAGTCTTTCAATTTCATGCTTTTGGTAGTGTGGGTAATGATAAGGCCGAACTTGCACTGGCTTGGTATCAGGCAGTAGGTGAATATGGTGATTGTATTGTCTATCAGGAGGTAACGAGGACGGTTTTGCGAATACATTAGCAAACTCTTGTAATAAATGATCAAGTGTTGGGCTTGAATCCATAAAAGGGACTGTAGGATCATTCTTGGAAGATTGAACAGTGAGACACATCAAACAAAAGGTTATAGAGTCATAGAGCAGCAGCTTATGTAATTGAGAAGAACTGATATGACTTGGGCTTACAGTTGTATTCCCTTTTAACAATACCTGCGAACTCTTATGAGTAAATGACATTGTTAGAGAAGCATAATCTGTTACAATTGGGCCCAATGTGGATGACCACTGTACTCCTAAAACAAAATCATCACCCTGTAATTCTAGTAGATACAAGTCAATAGTAAACTGATGGGACTGAATATCAACAATAATGGCCTTATAAATTTTTTAACCATAAAAGTATAAAAGGACAATTTATATCTATAAATTTTTTATTTATAACATTTTACAAACTTAATTATATACAAAGAGTAATACTTGATTTATGTATTACTTTTAATATATAATTAAATTTATAAATATAATTTTTCTCAAGTATAAATTAGAAGGAATTGTTATGAACTTATGATGACTAATAATTAAGATTGTCGTTGCCCAATCAATTTCCAACTAAAAAACTTCAAAACCAATAAATTAATCACAACTTCACAAGTGTGCAAGTAATTGCTGAATACATGGTTCATCGTCGCCTGGAACATTGAAGGCGTATTAGACAAGCGAAAAGGCATTACCAGAAATTGAAAATGACCGCTATGTGTTCTGAACGCGGTTTTATGCACATCTTCGGGATTCATTCGTATCTGATGATACCCTGATCTCAGGTCAATTTTAGAAAAAATTTGGGCACAATGTAGTTCATCCGCAGTAGGGATAGAAAATTTATCTGGTATTGTAATCCCATTGGTGCTTTATACTCCACACAAAACCTCCATGTACCATCTTTTTTTCTAACCAATAGGACGGGGGAGCTAGAAGGGGACTGACTTGGGCGAATCACCCCAGTAGCCAACATTTCTGCTACCATCCGTTCGATTTCGGCTTTCTGGAAGTGTGGATACCTATAAGGACAAACTTGAACTGGTTTGGAGTTAGGGAACAAATTAATATGGTGGTTAGAGTTGCGGTCAGGTGGTAAGGACTGGGGTGTAGCAAAAGGTCTTGAAATAAGGTCAATAGCTGCTAAACTGGAGGGGGTAATGGTAAGTGGGATGGTTCTAGTGGAGTATTGGGACCAGTAGTAGTAAGGCACTGAGTCTTGGGCTACTAGTTTATGGAATTGGGCCTGGGAGATTTGGGTAGGGTTAACAGTACGGTCACCATGGAGGATGGTAGTGGAATTATTGTGGGAAAATGACATAGTCATTTGTGCATAGTCTGTAATGATTGGGCCCAAAGTTTCCAACCATTGAATACCCAAAACTATATCAGCTCCTTTGAGATCCAAAACAAACAGGTCCACTGTAAATGTATGGGCTTGAAAACTCAGAGCCACATCCATACACGAAGCAGTACAATGAAGTGTATCACTGTTTCCCACCTGCACTTGAAAGGGGTTAACATGATGCATGGTTAAACCAAGAAATAAAGCCATACAGTTAGTGATAAAATTATGGGTGCTTCTCCCATCCACCAAAATTTGGACGTTTTTTCCTCTGATAGCTCCTGTGAGACGAAAGGATCTTGAGCTACGATGACCAAACAGGGCATTGAAGCTGATTTCTGGCGTCATTTCCTGCGTATGATTCTCGTCCATTTCGTTGATTGGTCCAGGGTCAGGGTCTTTGTCCTCTCCTTCGAGGTATAGCAGGGCAGGGTCTTCCTTTGCATTTATGACCGAAAGAAAAATTTTCGTCACAATTGTAGCAGAGGTTTTTCTCTCTTTTTTGTAGCATTTTGGCATGGGATAAACGGCAGATGGGTATGGCTGGAATGGGATTGGTAGTGGTAGTGATAGTGGTATTAGGAAGTATTTGAGGGTTAACGGATTTATGGGTAGGTTGCCAAGGACGTGTGGATATGTATT